AGGGAAATGTTTGTGCTCTCCTTGTACAGCACCTGCTCTGCTCACAGCACTGCTGGGTAAAAGCAAGAGCTGAGGTTCATGAGGTTCAACAAGACAAATTGACAGGTCCTGCACAGCAATCCTTGTTATCAATCACATCCTGGGCTGCAGCAAAGCAGCATGACCAGCAGGTCAGGGGAAGTGGTTCTGCCCCTCTGATCTGCTCCGGTGAGACCCCACCTGAAGTACTGTGTCCAGTTCTGGAGCCCTCAACACAAGAGGGACATGGACCTGTTGGAACTAGTCCAGAGAAGGGCCACGAAAATGACCAGAGGGCTGGAGCAGCTCTGCTCTGGAGACAGGCTGGAAGAGTTGGGGTGTTCAGCCTGGAGAGGAGAAGGCTCCAGAGGGACCTTATTGTGCCCTAGGAAAATACAGGGGCTAGAGGAAAGCTGGGAGGGACTGTTTACAAGGGCTTGTAACAATAGGATGGGGGGCAATGGCCTTAAACTGGAACAGGGTGGATTTAGATTAAACATTAGGAAGAAGTTCTTTACCATGAGGGTGGTGAAGCACTGGAACAGGTTGCCCAGAGAGGTGGTTGAGGCCTTATCTCTAGAGACATTTAAGGTCATCCTCAATGAGGCTCTAAGCAACCTGATCTAGTCAAAAAGGTCCCTGTGCATGGCAGGTGTGGCTGGACTAGAGGACCTTGAAAGGTGCCTTCCAACCCACACCTTCTGCAGTTCTATTCTATGACTTTAATTGGATGGGATTCTACAGAAATAAAGGTCTGGAGCAACAAGTATCACTGTTCACCACTGTAGGGATTTTTTTGTTGTTGTTTGCTTGCTTTCCAGGCAGTATTATGAGATGCTCTACAACACAGCAGATGAGCTCTTAAACCTCGTGGTGGATCAAGGGGTGAAGTACACAGAGCTGGAATACATCTACGCCCTGAACTTACTGCACCGGAGCCAGACAGGGGTGGGAGACCAAACCACCCAGAACATGAGGTTGCAGAGGTTGAAGGAGATCATTTGTGAGCAGGCTGCTATCAAACAGGCCACCAAGGACAAGAAAATCACCACGGTGTAAGATCTGCTCAGTCTGTCCCATGAAGTGAGCAGCAGGGGCTGTCAGGCTGCAGGTCCAAGCTGCTGCGTTTCTATTCTCATCAAAGGCAAAAACGTGTCTTCTGGGGGGCACTGAGAAGGGAAATGACATTTGAGATTTGGTTTTGGGGTTGTTTGTTGTCTTTTTTTTTAGGGGGAGGGTTGATGTGTAATCACATAAGGCTTCCTTAATGTGTTCTCCCAAGTGATTACACTGCAAGAACTCCTGGTGGGACTTGGGCGGGATATTTGGCTTTGCTCTGTTGCTGCTGCTTTGCCTGGAGAGGTCAGGTGAGCTGCTGTCTCTGGTGGGGTGGGAGAAGAGAAGATTTAGCACTGGGGTAGGTCAGAGCCTTCAGGGGAAGCTCAGACCACACTCAAGTAATCAGCACCGTGACAGTCAAGCTCAGACCTCTTGGTCTCTTGTGGGATCCTGATGGTTTTTGAAGCCTTTCCAAGAGCGTTGCTGCATGGAGCCCGTTCCAGCTCTGCCACTTCTACTCCCCGTGCCAGTTGTAGATGCAATAAATTTTCTGCTGCTGCCACTGCAAAGAGATCAAGTAGTTTATCCCTTTGGATAGTGAAGAGCCAGTTCTCATCGTGGGAGGTAACTTGGGACCATTTGCTGTTTCCACTTGTCCTTTTTCATTCCCAGAGCCATATGGCGTCGCTTCCCACAGCAGCTGCTGGTGGATGTAGGAGAAAATTGCCAATATGAGGTAGTAGCAAAACTTCATTATCTTCTTTTTTTTTATTTTTTCCTGAAGAGTCTCCCCAGCTCAAGACAATATTTTGTAATTGTCACTTGATGTGCTGGTGGGACACACAGTAGCTCAGCACCGATGATCAGCAAGGGCAGGAGGAGGGCAGATCCCAGCTCTGTGGTCTGAAGAGCACCCAGGTCACCATTTCTGCTCTGCCTTTGACCATATAAAGCCACCTGGTCAAAGGTCCCTTATTCAGTGAGGCTGAGGAGTTTCATACCAACCCCTCCAAGCTGAGAATACACTGCACTTCCTTTTTTTTTGCCAAGTAGATTGTCAACCCACCTGGGTTCCACATGCTGAGCTGGGTTCTCTCTGAGCTTTGTAACTGCTTGTGTGTCAGTCTTGAAACTGCTGAATTAAAGGGTGTTTAAAGATTCTTCAAAGGTTCTGGTGATTGCTCTGTTGTTTGTTGTTGTTGATGTTTTTTTTCCTTAAGGACTTATTTTTGTGGTATTTAAAAGATTCCTGTCCAGGTCTGAATTCATATATTGTCCTCCAAGGTTACACCTGTGTGGAAGTGCCCCTGACAGGCCAACTGGACAAGGTGCTTCTCAAGATCTACCTTAAAAGCCAAACCAAATAGTTCTAGTTGTTAGGAATCTTCTTCTGGTTTCTATTCTCATTTTATTAATGAACCCAGTTTTCCTTATGACAATTAACTACAAGGGTTCCCTCCTGTCCTTGATGAATTTGCATGAGGGTTGGAGAACACCATCATGGTAACATTATGATGATGATGTGAGGGTCTTTCTGGAGTACCACATGAGATTCACCTGCTCAGACATTGAGATGTGCTGCAGTTTAGGCACAGGAAAGTAAGAGTATTCCATATCCAGACTTTGGAGGAAGGTAAAGAAGCTGCTTGGTACAGGTAAGATGAATTTCAGACCCTTTGAGGTACAGAAGTGCTGCATGAGGAGCTCTGGATTCAGACCGAGCTGCTGTGGCCTCATGTCAGATTATTTTTGATCCCTTTCATCTTAAATTGCTTAATAATCTGAGCTTTTCCCTCATCTTCACATGGCTTATCTTGAGCTTTGCATTTTCCACCCACCAACCAGCTGTGCTTGACAGATTGCATGAAATCAAGAATATTTCATACATGGAAGTATGAAATTCCATACTTGGAAGTATGGTTGCTTCTAAAGCAAATGCTTTTAAAAGACTCTTCTCTGAACTGCACCTCACGTTGTCCATCATGCCACCACGAGATGTCAAGACAAAGCCCCTGGCTCAGTCTTTGCAGCAGCCTGAGATGTTGAGAAGGCATTTGCTGGATTGCACACCAGAGACCATCATGGCACAACCTTGGAGAGAAGAGAGACAGGACAGACAGGACAGAGACACCTTGAACCTGGTGTAGAGGGAAGAAAAACGTTTGCAGCTGAGGTAATGACAGTATATAATTAGCTGGCATCTCTCTCCCCAAGTTTTCAGACCCTCAGTTCTCTCCAAAACCTCTCAAGGGAAGTTCATGTTACCTTTGAGTATCAAGAGTGGTCACATCAAGGGCACAAAGGCAGTGAGAGTTGCCAGAGGACACAGAGAAAGGCACGAGCAGCTTGTGGCAGGTAGGGATCCAGACCCTGAGCACTTTGTGGCAGCCACCCACTGACACATGCTGCACAAGCTTTGTGTGATGACATGACATCATGACATGACATGATATGACATGACACATTTGGGAGAGGACAATTTGGTGACTGATACTTAACTCTGAGAAGAACCAGAGCAATGTCTCTCCCATGACACACTACATCACAAGAAGATGCTGCCAGAAGGAATCCTCATCAGCCTTAACAAATCCATACTGAGTTTTTTTAGAATCACAGAAAAATTTTGGTTGGAGAAGACCTTTGAGATCATTGAGTCCAACCATTAACCCAGCCCTGCCAAGTCCACCTCTAAACCATGTCCCTCAGCACCACATCTACAAGGCTTTTAAATCCCCGCAGGGACAGTGACTCAAGCTTTTGAATCCACTGTGTTTTCTTGCCAATGGGTGTCTTGGAAGTAGAAAATACACAATGAAGATGATGATTTTGAAGCACAGATGACTCCAGATAACTCATGTTCAGGCAATTCACCTCGTTCTGTGTGCTCATCTGTCAGTTTTAGCTCAGCCACTCTCCCCTGCTGCTTCCCAAGAGGGAGCACAAAGTCATCAGCAGCTCCATCCTGCAGAGTGCAGCTCTGCTTTGCTGAACCATCTCCCAGTAAGTTTCCTGCTCCACCTGTGTTTCCAGACAGAGCTGGTGGCACAGCAGGATCCCACCTGCTACAAAGCACCCAAACAACATGAGCAATGAGGGGCCTAGTTTGGCATCAAAACTGCCTGGAAAAAGACAGTCCCCCCTGGAAGGGGCCTGGCTTGTGTGGTGGTGTTTCTTGCAAATGCTCTCTTGCTAATATAGGGGATTGTTGGGAGGGGAGAGATTTTTTTGGGAATATCTTTTGTGCTTTAAGTTGTTATTGTGGGTAGAGTCAAGCTGTTGTGTTTCATAGCAAAGGACTGTTCAGACAACACGTTGGCTTATCCACTGGTGGTGGCCACACACACACTCACAGGCACCCATCTGGAGCCACAGCTGGGAGGGCAACTCTGAAGGTGGTTGGAAGAAGAGGGTGGTACTGACACACCAGTGGCTTCTAAGTAGGTGTTTGGAAAGTCCCCCAAGAGCACCTTGTCTCACCAGAGGTCTTTATCTCCTTAGAGAAGCCACCACCCTGCTGGGTATAGTCCAGGTCACACAGCCCCTTGTTCATGGTTTTGTGAAGATCTGGCAGGCTCTGTGTGTCCTGCATTGATCACTGCTCACAGATCCAACAGTTGCACAGGTCTCCTTGGGAAATTTTCTGACTACCTTGCCAGCATTTCTTCCTGTCTTCAGCACGTTGTTCTCTGGTAACAAGTTCTCCATCCCAACCTGTGGAACCTGGTCACACAGCTGGGGCATTTATAAGATATTCACAGTGGAAGATAGTTTCCCAAGATGAACAAACCACATGAGGATATTACAAACTGTGCAAAGACCCAGGAACCCCCTTCATCTTAGATCTGAGCTAAGCAGAGCGTGACCTACCCCAGGAGCCAGTCCTCAGTCTGACACCTTCTTACAAGACCACAGATAACTTCTCCAGTTCTGTTCTTTGCACCCGTTCTTGCCTACAAGTGGATTTGGAGTCCTGGCTTGACTCTGCAGGACACAAGGGTTTATGGACAAGGCCTAGAGATCTTGTTTTGTAATGCTACATGAAATGTTCCTTCAGCTCCTCCAGCATTTAGAGAGTAACTGTTATATAGATGTGGCCCTTTTGGTGCTTAAGGAGACAAGGAAATACTCCTTCAGACCACAAAGTGAAATACTTTCATGGGGGCTGTAAAACTTCATGAGGGTTTCACAGTCTCCTCTTTACAGCCTTGTAATCTTTACTGGGTTTTAATTATCACACTCTTTTGAAGACTGTGCCAGAGACAATCGCTGAAGTGGAAGGTAAAGCAAATTGCTGTGGTTGTTTTCAGGGTTATCAGTCACTGACTTGTCTTCTCCCAAGTGCCTCCTCCTTGACATCCTCTTGATTAAGGGTGATAAAAAGCTGACTGTCTGACAGATATGCCTATAAATACAGGCAGGCAGGCAGGCAGGCAGGCAGGAAGGCAGGAAGGCAGGCAGGAAGGCAGGAAGGAAGGCAGGAAGGAAGGAAGGCAGGAAGGAAGGAAGGCAGGAAGGCAGGCAGGAAGGCAGGAAGGCGGGAAGGCAGGAAGGCAGGAAGGCAGGCAGGAAGGCAGGCAGGAAGGCAGGCAGGAAGGCAGGCAGGAAGGCAGGCAGGAAGGCAGGAGGGAAGGAAGGAGGGAAGGAAGGAGGGAAGGAAGGAGGGAAGGAAGGAGGGAAGGAAGGAGGGAAGGAAGGAGGGAAGGAAGGAGGGAAGGAAGGAGGGAAGGAAGGAGGGAAGGAAGGAGGGAAGGAAGGAAGGAAGGAAGGAAGGAAGGAAGGAAGGAAGGAAGGAAGGAAGGAAGGAAGGAGGCTGTGTGCAGGTACACAGAATCACAGAATGGTCAGGGTTGGAAAGGACCTCTGGAGATCATCTAATCCAACCGCCTTGTCAGAGCAGGATCCTCTAGAGCAGATCCCACAGGAACATGTCCAAGCAGGTTTAGAATATCTCCAGGGATGGAGACTCCACAACCTCATAATCTGCCATCCATGGGATGAGT